GTTTCTGATCTTTTTTTGTTTGAGTTGTTAAGGAGAGCTTTTGTAAGGGAATGTTAAATGAAGAAGACCCAAAGCTCCTTTAGTTCATTCAGTGCTTTGTGGTCATTTTCCACATGAGGATCCCTACAATCTAATCTTTTTCTAATTACAGCTTCCTTAGTTGAGAGTTTTAGACCAGCTGCTGGTGGAGATGAGATGGAGCCCAAAGGAATACAAAATTAAAGATGGGCCTCAGGGCTTCAGTTCCCATTTGTAGATGATGAATGCTATGTATTTAAGTCATAATATAGTGAACATTCTTAACTAAAATGAAAGATTCATGCTGTAGTCTATTACAAGGGATTTCCTTGTATTTTCTGAATAGTATTTCACTTCGAAGACATGATTCTCAAATATGTGTTTTATGCACTTAAAATAGAATATTTTGTCATTAGGTTTTTTTTTGGCTGTCCAATATCTCTTTTGTTAAGAATGCAAAAAATGTGCAAGGAATAGTGTTTTCTTATTTATTTATTTTTTGCATTTCTTTATTTAGTAACAGAATTCAAAGATTCCTGACAGCTTTAAAAAAAAATCATAAAAAATACTTTTAAGAGCATCCTCATTGTTACTAATGGGAAGTTAATTGCTGCCTTTCCCAACAAAATGTCTTTCCGATATGTTTATGACTTATTAGAATTCATTTCTTAGCTGGTCACTTCCTACATAGCTGAATATTCTGGGAATTCTACTTTCAGTGATCCAAAAGAACAGAAGGAGGAGAGAAAGATTTGTTAACATGTTAGGAAAATAACTTAATGTTCCTCCTTAATAAGTAGCAGAACCAGATCCATATGTCTGGGGGACAATGTGCGAGTGAGAAAACCCTCACTTTTTGCGTTCAAATAACTTGCTTGAAACTTGTCCAGTTTTGGTTCCAAGACCAAGATCTAGACAGCAGCAATGAGCTGTAGCCAAATCATTTCTCAAACTAGAGTTGACAAGAATAAATGGGGAAAAGTGTTTTCCCTTCTAGTATTGCTGTTATGTTTTACATACATAGGACCTCATTTTCAGCATTCCTTTTGCATTTTCTATTTCTGATGCCCCCTGCTTGGTGCTTTACTATGGACAAAGAATAACTATTGATTGGTGGTACCTAGTGTTAAAGAATTTTAACAGTATTAGCAATTGATCTTGGCCATGCAAGGTAATAATATGCATTTATATTTCTGTCACTAGATTTATTTCAGGAGAGAGAGAGAGAGAGAGAGAGAGAGAGAGAGAGAGAGAGAGAGAG